ATGCGTCAAAGTTCTTCTGGGTTTGAGTCATTATTCAGTTGTAGGGCAGCAGATTGCAGATAATTGTCACCGGGGTTGTGCTTCTCCTCTTCCCTGACATTTTTGCCCCACCCCTCCCCTTTTTGTAATTCTCCCTACATGCAACACCTTCATAGATTTACAGTCCAACCAATTTTCTTTTTCTTTTTTGAACTGTTGGGTTTGGGAGTGTTTTGTTTCTTTTATTTTTTCCAGCTTTCTCTGTAACAAATTAAAACCAAGGAAGCAAACCTAAAGCTTTTTTTTTGCCAAGTTTCTTTACATGGATGCAAGACAATCGCAGACCAAATCTTATTGCTGGTTTGTTGAGTGAACACAATGTTTTGGTTCATTGAAGGACTTAACGCTGTCGCCCACCTGCCATCCATACATAGGCCTTAGGTGCTAGACCTTGTCCATCTCACTGAAAAGTTTCTGTGAACTGTTTGATGTGCATCGAGCTCTTTGTCATACAGTCGTGTAACGTGACATGTTTAGAATGTTTTGGGGGGGGGTTTGGCTCCAGTTGATTTCAGTTGGCTTGAGTGATCATTTTTGGCAGTGTCTTAATACGATTGAGATCAATCGCAGGATGATTTTTTTTTTCTTTTTTTTTTCCCTTTTTTTGAGAATGTCTTGAAATGGAGAAGTTTCAGTGCTGTTTGGAAACCTGATGTGTGTGGGGTTTTTCTTTTTCTTTTTCTTTTTTTTAAAAATACATTTAGTTGGCAGGTTTGGTTTTTCTTGCACGTGGTAAAGCAGCCCAATGAGAAGACTTCCCTCTGGGCCTTAGACATGTTTGAAAAAGCACTGTTTCCACAGCTAACGGTCTGGTTGCTGGTTAACCTTTTTTCGGGGGATTTGTTTGAGCATCACACTAAACAGTAAAGTTGCTCACTAACCAAGCTGTCCAGCCTTTTGAACACAGTGAAGCACAGGCCACACAGTTCATTTGTGCTAAATATTTGAGTCCTTTAATACACACTGTAATGTTTTGAAGAGGCCACATGTAATGCCTTTCTACCCAGCGATGACTAAACCGTCGACAGGTAGAAGGCAACGCCACTTGATCCACTTCAGACACCGAAGCATCACACTTTGTTTTTTCTTTACAATACAAGACGTATTGTCACTTTTCTATCAGCTATCAACTGCTCTGTGCTACTTAAGGTTTTTTTTCTCCCGTCTGCCTTCTCTTTTCATCAAGTTTCCACACACACTTCTTTCAAACATAACACTTTTTACATCTGAGATGTTTTGCGTTCATATTTTCTAATTGTATTTTCAGAAAAAGAGAGGGGAAAAAAAAAAAAGCAAAAACAACATTAATCTTTCTCCTCATGACCTGGGTACAGTGATTGTGTAGTCTATTGTACCTTTTGGGAAACAATACTGTATATCCTTGCCTTCGACAGTCTTAACTATCTTACCCTCTTCTGGAGAACTTGACAGATACCCTTAGAACACAATGAGTATGTTAAAAATATATATACATAAAGTAATATTTTGCAAAATGTATCATTCCAATAAAGTTTTACTTGTTAAGACTAATATGTCTGGGTTATATGTAAACTTTCTCTTCACTTCGCAGAAAGCAGTTGTAGGGTAACAGCTGGATAAGACAAATAAACATGCCGATAGGTGATGGCAGATGCTGTATTTCCACCGTCCTGTCTGTTATTGTGAATCCTTTAAGAGGATAGCAGGCGCAATTGAATAATGCAGTGTTGTGTTCATCCTGTCACAGTATGGTGTCAGTTACCAACCAGCTCCCAGCACCCCTTTTCCAAATGTAACCCCAACCATAGTGCACTCTTTTATTTTTTCTTCCCCCTCTTTCTTTCTTTCCTCCTCCTCACTTGCATCTATCTGCATAAGTCATACAGTTGTATGCAAAAGGGTTTGGCACCCTGCGGCGAATTGCATATTTTTGTTGATTTTTGAACTGAAGACCAATAAATACGACTCCTGCAGCAAACGCGCATCAAAAATGAATTCTCCACATGTTAATGCACTCCTGCCACTTTGATTTATTTAATGAAATAAAAAGTACTTGTGGGCATGTGCTGTTAAAAGCTTCAGCTTGGGTTTCATGTGTGGATCGCTGTCGTCTTGCAGAAGTCGGCCACTTTTTCAGTTGCACTTCCTTGGCTCGATCGCATGACATTTGCATCCTGAATTTGCTGATAGGCAGTGAAATTTTTTTTTCTTCCCTTTTATCCATGCAATGTTTCCTGTGACACCACCCCAAAGCACAATATCCCCAGCCCCAAGGTGTTCTTTTCATCAGTGCAATTCCTTCCCTCTCTCTTTCTCTGAATATATATATGTATAGATATCTATAGATCTATATATGTATCGCCAGTAAATATGACCAAAGAGCTGAGCTTTTTGTTCTCCATACAAGTCTGGCCTATCCAGATGTTGCTCTGCATGCTTCAGATGCTGAGTTTTTATAATAGGACCTCAGATAACGTTTCTGTTTTTAATGGCTTGCATATTGGCCACAATAATCCACCATGGAACTTTTTCAAGAAGCTCAAGCTGAAGCTTTTCCCACTGACTGAGGGAGGGGAGAAAAAAATTGTGAGTTGTTTTCTTAAAGATTAAAGCAATCTGCGAAGGAGTAAGGGATTCAGAATTTCCAAATAATGAAAAGCCTCAAATCACAAATGAAAAACTATTGGAATGACTCGCTGTGTAAAATAAAGTGGGCAATTTGGCCAGTGGTCCGCATATGTTTGCACGTATTAAAGGCCTAGAAATCTGAGCCATCATTATGAATGCACTATTTCCATTAAAAAAAATACAAAGCCATGGAGTAAATCTGTTATTACATTACATTAAGAAAAATGTTAGTGCATATTTGTAAATATGGAGAACATGCAGATGAGTGACTAATTAAATGAAAACCTTAAACTTTGACCTTTTCATTGAGGGTATCTGGTGACTTTGTTAAGCTGTGGGTGACATAGTTTGAGCCTATGATGTCTTCTTAGGGGCTAGTGGTCACTTTAAATCAATACAGATTTGTCCTAAGTGATCCCATGATGAAACGGGGGTGGTTTCTTTCAGGATGACAAGGACCCCACCCTATCTAAAATGCAGAAAGGGTCACTGAATGGGCTGAGAGACTCCTGACTTAGTTTAACGCCTACAGGAGATTAATAAACTAACAATGCTCTCCGCCACCAAATCAGGATATCTTTTCACGAAATGGTGCAGAAACATTAACAAGGTGCTTTGACATTATGAGGCAGCAGCTGGTGACCCCAAAACCTTACCAAGATGTACGTTTACATATATACTGTAAGCTATAATGTAAAAACTATAAATCACTGAAACAGCTTTTGTGGTGGTGCAGTACTGTGTAAAATCCCTGTGCTACCCCTCATTTCTTTATATCTTGCTTCCAAAGAGCCAAACTTTAACAAATTGCAATGAAGTGCTCTTGAGCAAAAGTTCTCTTGGCTTTTTGGCTGCTTTTTCACTCATTTTTTTTATTTTTTTTAAAGAGTCTTCAAACTGACCTATGAATCATTCAAGCATTAAAAAATGCACATAACTCGAGGGATGAACCTGTGTTGTGGCTACACAGACAGCTTAGCAAAGAACCATTTTTTAAATTGTCTTTAGGCACTTTGTTACTAACAGGCAGCTTGTTGCAATATTGCAAAAGCATGTTTTTTTTGTTACATTTATGAAAAATGCCAAAGATAACACAGTTTGATGAGCATAAGGTAGTATTTGTGCACCAAGAGGGTGATTCTTAAAGGGCAACTAGCTGAAAACTTGGCATATCTCAAAATTCTGAGCCGTGTGTCTTAAATTTGAGGCTAATAGAAGAAGTATCAGGGCTAAAAGACTATCTACAGCAGATGAACAATATCTAAAACGTCATATCCTTAAGTAATAAGAAAAAAATCCATCAAAGACCTGACCTTAGAGACAGATCTGGCTCTTCAGTCGATCCATCTGCTGTTCACTGAAGCCTCAGGAGAAATGGTCTCAGTGGAAGGGTGGCTGTCAAGAAGCCATTCTTACGGAAGGGAAACGGGGAGAAAATCCTGAGGTATGCCAACTTACACAAAACTGGACTGAAAACCAGTGTCAAAAGCTCTTAAGGAGTGATGAATCCACTTAAGGTCAGGGGAGAAGTGCAACAGTGTGTGTCTGCAACCATCTGTAAAACGTGATGGAGGCTCTGCCACGGTATGAGACTGCATTTCAGCCAGAGGTGTTGGGGGGGCTCTTATGAATGCAGAAAGTGCCATCAGACTTTAATCCACCATGCAATACCACCTGGTCAGCATAGTGGCTTTATATTTCAACATGACAATGACCCAAATGCACTTGCTAATACAGTAAAAGCATACCTGGACAGAAAAATACACAATGGGGCACTGTCAGTCCTGGACTGGCCTTCTCAGAGCCAGCAACGTGGGATCATTTGCACAGAGAACAGAACAAGAAGGCAGCCATTATTCAAAGAAGAGCTCTGAATGTCCTTCGGGGAGCCTGGAGAACTATTCCTGACTTACAAGAGAGTTTGGGCTTTGTTGACAAATAAAGGTGGTCATACCAAATAGTATGGACATGTTTCAATAAGTTGCTTAATCTCTTTACCACTTTCCCAGCAAAATATTAGGTAAAACGTGAAGGGAAGCTCAAGACTCCTCCACTGTACTGTAAATCTAAAGGAGAATGTACCATTGACAATCATTTGTATATTCAGATCACTTAGTGTTAGATGGCTGCACGGCTTGTATGTAATTTGTGGGTTTTGTTGTTGTTGTTGTTGTTGTTTTTTTTTATAAAATATATGTATTGCCTGGTTGTGCAATGCTTATTTCTTACTTAAGATTTAGGCATCGAGGGGGCGTCTCAGTTTGGTCTGTGGCTTTGATTTGATTTTGCGAAGCTAGGCGAAGGACTGGATCACGTGTTAAGAATTATTTCCGTGACAGGATGTTTACTCTAATGAAGGGTTGAACGATAATACTAATAATAATAGTTGTTGCCAGTTTGGGTTAATCTTAAACAATAAACAAAAAGCTACCTTTCCGACCAACTGGACCACACTTAATACCGAGTGCGGGCGCTCGTTCCCGTTCAGGACTGCATATTCCACCTTAAAAACGCCTCTCGAGTAAAACTTTTCGCTCTAACTCCCTCGTTCCACCTTAAGCGCAAACGCAAACGCAGGAGGCGTACAGCGAGGTTTCCGCTTCTCAGTAGGGCTCGGACCGCGGCTCACGAAAATCACCGTGTGTAACGCACAAGGTTGACGCACTGAGGCACGAAAAAAAACGGGGAAAAAAGAGAGCAAAGCAAGCGAGCAGAAAAGATGTCTGAATCCAAGTACCGCGAGTGGATTCTGGACACTATCGACTCGCTGCGGTCTCGAAAAGCCCGGCCGGACTTGGAGAGGATTTGCCGAATGGTCCGGAGACGACACGGGTCCGAGCCCGACCGAACCTGCGCAGAACTGGAAAAACTGATCCAAGAACAGACCGTGCTGAAAGTTAACTACAAGGGCTCCATTTCGTACCGAAACGCCGCCAAGGTTCAGCGGAGAAGCAGAAAAAAAGAAGATGTGTCGTTAACAGCGGCTGCGAGAAGGAGCGCCGTGGAAGAAGCTAGTCACTCCGACTTGAGCAACGGGGACAGCGCTTTCGGTCCCGCTGACCAGGACGAGGAGGATTTGGAGGTATGTGGAGGCTGATGCTAGGAGGCACGTTTTCATTGTCATGTCACCTCACAGAAAATTAACAGGTGGGGGGATTGAACGACCACTGTTTGGTGTGTAAAAATAAAACATGTTTTGCCGTGTGTGTGAGAGTGTGTAAGGGAGTGGAGGGGGACGGTGAAGGGGAGTGATTTGCAAGTGCACCCGAAACTGCCGCAGACGGGGAGCGGCGGTTGGACCTCGCTCGAGCGCTGCCGAGGTGGAGAAGGGGAGGGGGAAAGAGAAAAAAACTGAAGGTGCGCGTGAAGGGAGCGTGTGGCACAATTTGTTTCTTTCTTTTTTACACAGCGCGACAGTTTAAAAGCGCTTTAAATGGACGGCGTGAAAGCGCAAACACGGGACGGGGAAAAGTTGAACCGTCCTGTTCGTCCGCAACAACCCGAGCCTCCATTATCGGTAGCAGAAAGCGCTTTTCAAGCCCCAAACTCGGCGTTGAGGGAGGGGGAGGGGGGTGCTGTTAAGGTTCCGCAATGACAGTTGAGGTAGCCCGGAAGTTGAGAAAAGTGCACTTTCATAATAATGGCATGAAAACTGTGCCCCGCTGGTGGGAATTTTATTTCGAAACGCAAGTCTGGATGTGTGTCTCTTCATTCTCTGTCAACGTGGGAGTGGGTGAAGGAGGAGGAGGAGGGGGGTGGAAAAAAAGTCTCAAACACTGCGAATGTAGGAACCTGACGGGGGGACTGTGGGTCATTGTTGCATTTTTGGTTGTTTTATGCCAGGGAAACAAACGGGGCCCGCTGTTGTAAACAGTGTCGCTACAGCCGTGTCCTCAATCATATTTTTGACCGCCCATGGCTAGATTTCCACCGTTAGCCTCGGTCTATACTTCAAAATATGCCCATCGCAATGTGCAGTGTGCTAAAACAGACACAAAATCGACTGCAAGCGGTGACAAAGTAGTTACATTGTGGGTGCAATCACTTCATTTCACCAAACTGCGTTTCTTCTTCGAGCGATGGACGATTGCCGACGCAGTGCTTGAAGTCGAACCCCTAGATCCATTATCGGACGCACTGCCAAGCCCGGTCACGTCCAACGTCGTGGTGTTAGCTGTTTTTTTTGTTGTTGTTGTTGGTTTTTAATTTTATTGCTCATCACGTCCCGTACAGTGGCGACATCTCGTCTCTGTGTCTGCCAGCTGTGCGCCGACAGTATTTTAGGAGGAAAATCAGCACCACAAAGCTCTGAAATATGCAAGAGCCGGCAGAAAGCTGAAGTAACATAAAGCGACCGCAAACTGTTCGTCCGGCGCTAGATGGCGGATGCGCCCGTCCGATTTGGGTTAAGCCGAGATCAAATTGTTCTGTGAAAGGCGTGTGTGTTGCTACAAGACCGACTATGCGTGAATGCTTTGAACAGACCCCTCTGCGGGGTGTTAACCAGCTTTTGCCAGCATACGAGGGGGTCAAATGTAGACAGTGACGTGTCCGATAACGGACTCATTCGTGTGACTCTTTTCTGTCCAGTCGCTTTTGCTGTAAATCGTTGACCCGACGCAAAGTCAAAGTAGACTGGTAATCGCGTCGTCTGCTGCTCTTTCTGATCGGAGGGCTGCCCGTCGAGTTAAAGCTCGGCTTTTATCTCCGACTGGTCCGCCGTGCAGCGAGCGGCTCGGCCCTGGAAAGCTCTCTGTTTTTATTTCATTTGACTATTTCCCTTATTTACAAAAAGAGCACAGACACAAAAACAAGGTCTATACCGCGTCTCCCAACTCCATGCGCACTTTGGAGGAAATTTGAGGAAAAACAACAAGAGCATGAACAAAAAACGCCTCCCATCGGCCCCTTTTGTGCTCTCGCGTGTTAAAATTATCAATCAAGTAGGCCTCTTAAAAAAACAAAAACAAAAAAAAAACACGGGGACGCACAGAGTACGTCGGCGGCTCTGAGTGTTTGTGAGCCGAGATGTAAATCATGTTGGGCTGAGATCCCCAGGGGCGTTATGTTTTTGTGACCGTGCCTCGGTGAAAGTTGTGAGAAATGCAGTGCGACGGCTGAATGCCGTTCAAGCGGCTCTTTCCTCAGGAGCGGGGCGGGCTTTCGTGCGCTCATGTGCTCGACTGCTGGGTCTCGGACACGCAGTCGCACACGGCGTGATTTTTCACTCGGGGCGCCGTCGTCGAACCGCTCCAGCGAAAGGAATGTGTGCGTTCGTGAGAACTCTTAGCTGCCATGAAAAAAAGAAAAGACAAGATTGTGTTTAAATGTTTTAATGCAGCGGTTGTTTGTGACGGGAGGGCTCGCACTCTGCGGAGTGAACGCTGCACCGCGGAAAGGGACGGAGGCATTCAAAGGCAATAATTTACCACCACCGCGGTCAAATTGCGACATCAGTACGAGCTTGCCTTCATGTGATACCCTCAGCCTACAATCAGTGCCTCTCAGTGTTCCCAACAATACCTTACAACCTTGTCGGGCTCAGCAGCTTTTTTTAAGTTGCTGCTAATAACAACTTGATGTCTCTTCCTGCTTTTTGTCCCCTCTCATCCAAATGAAGATTTAGAAACATCTAGAAAGCTTCTGTGCAAATGTGAAATCACGTTTCCCCCTCTGCTCCTGTGTTCCAGGCTGACACCTCTATAGCTATGGACACAGACAGCAATGCAGACGAGGAGGGGGGCGATGAGAGCCGGGATGGGCAGGAAAGACCCTCACCCAGCCACACACATGAAGATGCCACTGTGCACTGTGCCCCCGTGCGAGCTGTCTCTGCTCCCTGCTCTCCCTCTGGCGCTAGGCCCGGCCCCGGGTGCAGCCCTGGCTCCGCTCTGGACTGTGCCTCTTTCCAGAAGGCTGGTGAGAGGCCCAACTCCTTGCCCCCCTCCAGCCCCAGGGCCCTTGCACACAATGACTGGGCTTATGATTCTGCCGTCTGCCCAGCAGAGCGCCAGCACCCAGGAATGCAGAGAGACAAAGGTATTCACGGTGCTACACACAGAGCAACGTGCGCACAAAGCACTCTAATATCAGTTTATGTGCAAGCTTACGCTCAGCTTTGCGCTGGATATGAAAGAAGTCGATGGGAGCTTTTAAACACCTGTGTAATTATTTGTGGGATGTTGACAGTGACAACTGTAATGTAAGCCAGACACAGAGATGCAGGGGAAAATAATATATTCTCATAGCTTAGTGATGATCCAGTCTGAGGCGCATTCATCCATTTGGCTGTCATAAATTTCTCCTATTAGACTAAGTAGAATTTGGCAGGTCAGATGTGGACGATAATCAGCGTATAATTGGTGTTAATTGGCCCACTCTGTGTTAGCAGTGGCCATGAAGCCAGCGGCCCAGTCTGTAGCTCCTGCCCCCTGCGCTGTAAACAACGTAAAGAAAGATGATGGAAGCAAGGTGGAGGACAGAAGCGTCTCGTCTGACCAGTTGGTGCCAGACTCAGCAGCACGGCCGGTAAGGGCCTGTTTTTTCCTTTTGTGACTAACATCTGTATCTGTCCTCTGCTTCTTTGATCCCTCTGCTTCCTACCTGACATTGTCATGTTGAATTCATCTTTGTTCTCTCATGTTTGACCAGCAGGATGAGACCAGGAATGCTTCTAATGGGAGATCACAAACACTGCCTTTGCTATCTGACAACTGTGAGTTACATAGTTTTCTCTTGTTTGTTTGTGTTTGTATAGCAGGCTTGCAGCTTCTATCTCTTTTGCAAAGCTTGACCACCGAATCGTTCTCTCACTTTGGAACATGGTTTCTAATAGAAAGGGAACTTAAGGAGGTTAACTAAATGTCAACATAATGGGCATAAAGGCTCCATTCTGGTTGTTATTTGGCTTTTTGTACCAGTACTTGCCTTCAGCATTGCTTACGATCTTTTGACTGCTTCACAAGCGTGTGCTGCTACCTGCTGTTCAGCTAGTACCCAATCTAGTTAGAGGTCATTGCAACACTTTGTCAGGACTGACTTGAAGAGATGGGATTTTTAGACTGTCCACAGATGCATGATATGAAGAAAAATGACTACATTACCACCACATAATCAATTAATGATTCAGGTATATCTTGTGGGCTCTTATTTTCATTCTTCCTTAAATTTGATTACATTTATTCCATCCTTTGTGGTGGGCAAAACACAGAAATCTCGTTTTAAAGTCTTTCAGCTTTTATCACTTTAACTTGAGACTTAGCCAGCAAAACAAAAAGATGTTAAATGACAAATATATGTTCTTCACCACCACTGTTAAGTCATCTAGGCCCATGGCGATCATTAGGTGAACCTGATATGTTGGTACATTCCTAGTAAATCTGTGTTTGCGGGAAACAGTGAACTTTCAGATTTACTAAGGATCTGAGTCAGTTTTTAGGGTTAAAGTTTCTGTCCAGAAGAGACAGAGGCTTCCATTCTTGGTAGATGCTAGTGGAGGTTTTTAGTGTGTAAAAATGAATGTAGTTTGTTGTGTTTACAGGGAGAAACCTAAAGGTAAAACACCTCAAATTGACCATGGTAGTTCTTACTGCTAAATACCCAATAAGCTACATTGCAAGCCAGCTGTTAACCGATGCCTACAGTAATACAAAATCTGACACATAGATATAAACTGCATATGTGTGGGGTGTCATCTAAATCTGAATTTAACTAATCCTGAAATGGGCTTAGCCAGGATCTAATGTCTCCAATCTTTATCTAAAAGTGATCATTGCAGATCCCTACTTTATTTTCTTCTCTGTTTTATTACTTCAGGGATCTGTCAGTGACTTTACTCATGCCTGAATATCAAAGTGAAACCTGCATTTTTCTTTCCTAAGTGAGACATTGCACACTTACAATGCACAGTGGCAAAGCTGGCATGGAGTTTGCCTTGGAGGAGCGGTACCCATCTAAAACATGGCTGCGTCCTCGTCATGCATCATGTGTATGACAGCAGGCATGCCAGCATCCTGTGAAAGTGGTCCGGTGTAATAAGGGGATGTATCAACACTCATTCACCGAGCCCTCACCTTACTGAGGTGTGAAGCAGCTCTAATAGAAAAACATACCATAACTGCAGACAACCCAGTATGACTACAAGAAGCTGGTCCAACATCGCTCTGCTGGATATCAGCGGAATGAGTTTGCACATTTAAAACTGGAGCTGCTTTTTTTTTTTTTTTTCCTTGAAGAAGATAAGTTAGAGCTCTGTTTTTCATTTTAAGACTTTTCTTTTTTTCTGTTTGTTACTCATAAGAGCTCAGGTTCAGTTCACTTTTTATGAATGAGCTGCCCTGCGGTCGATGCAGATATCATCTGCATTTGAGGAATTTTTACATTTATTATAAAGTGATTTCTGTTTGTCAACAGGCACATTTAAGAAGGCAGACACATCATCCTTAACAGCAACTGATGACAATCTTCTGAATGGTGGTAAAGTGGATGACGTGTGAGTATCCTGATATATATATATAGATATAGATATAGATATAGATAAGATAGATAGATATAGATAGATAGATAGATAGATAGATGATAGATAGATAGATATAGATAGATAGATAGATAGATAGAATAGATAGATAGATATATATATATATATATAGATAGATAGATATATATAGATAGATAGAGATAGATAGATAATAGTATATATAGAGATATATATATAATAGATATATATAGATATATATAGATAAGATATAAATAAGATATAGATAAAGATAGAGATAAGATAGATATAGAAGAGATATATAGAGATATAGATAGAGATATAGATAGAATAGATAGATATAGATAGATAGATATATATAGATAGATAGAGATAGATATATATATAGATATAGATATATATATATAGATATATATAATATATATATATATATATAGATATATAGATATATATATATATATATATATAATATAGATATATATATATATATATATATATATATAGATATATATATAGATATAATATATATATATATATATATACAAAATACAGCAACTGGCAGGATCTGAGCATTTAGCCATAATTACCTGTCAGCCATTTAATCTGCCAGCCTCAGCTCAGCATGCAGATAGTCCTTGACGGTGTTTGGCCCACACTTTTTGGCAAATTGTCCAGATTATCAGTTCACCTTTGCTGAGGGACAGCACTTAAAATAATTATAGTAAACTACCCTGTGGGTCATGTAAAAGCTTGAAAATGAAACAAAACAAGACATTACCTGCACACAGATGCCATATTGAGGTTTTGTGACTCTTCTTGATTTATTTTTAAATCCTGTAATCCACCAGGTCTGTGAAGAAGGAGAAGATGAGCCAGAACTTGTTGCAGTGGACTGTGGCAGATGTGGCCAGTTATTTCTCAGCTGCAGGATTTCCCGAGCAGGCTGTCGCTTTTCGAACACAGGTTAGTGCAGTGGTACAGAGCTGCTACAGAGAGCATTGCTCATACATCAGAGTCAAACCTAACATACTCCATCACTTCATGGATTTTGTTCTAATGTATTATTTTTTTAGAGGCTCTGTATATACACTATGAGTCTGTTGCACTGTTCAAAACTGAAGAATGGTGCCGTTGGGTTAAATACTCAAAGCATATCTTTAGAAACCCAAGCGTAATTCTAATTAAATTCTTTTCCCTCTTTTGCAGGAAATTGATGGGAAGTCTCTTCTTTTGATGCAGCGTAGTGACGTATTGACCGGGCTGTCCATCCGACTCGGCCCTGCCCTCAAAATCTACGAGCGCCATGTAAAAGTGCTGCAGAGGACCCATTTCCTGGAATGCGAAGACCTTTGAAGTGGCGATTGACATGGCAGACTGCTGCATTGACTCAAACTTCCATTTAGCACCCCCTCTCACTACTGCCCACTTTCATATACAGTATGTGTAGAGGGTGTGTGGTGGAGGGTTTCGGTGGAATTGACTTTCACTGTGAGAATGACCAGAAACTGAAACACAGTCGTCCTACCTCTCATTACGGTCTTTAGTTTTCAGATGGTTTTCATTTCACTCATTGCAACCCCGTTATGGAGGGAAGAGACCGCTGCATTCCGAGTGTTTTAAAGCGGTGCAGCAGCAACCTTTCTGCAAGAGTAAAACACTGGGAAAGTGAAAAGTTTAAGCCTTCCAACCAAGTGGACCACCTACACAGACATGGCTGTGGACACAGTGCTGTCGCAGCTTTGGATGTCCCCTCTGTGTCTGTTACCACACATTCTGTTTACCCAGAAACTGTTAATCACAGAAAACAAAGCACAGCAATTGTGCAGTTTGCTTTTTTTTCCCCTTTAATTTCTTTTTATTTCATGTGATGAGTGCTGGAGAAGTCAGACTATCCAAGTACCTGCATTATTAGGGCTGCCCTTTATATCTTGTTTTTCTTTGAAGCCTTGATAATCAGCAGTGAGTAGTTGACAATTTTATAACTAAAGCATCATCTGACAGGTGCTGTGCAGAGAGAATGAACAGCAGGACAACAATGGGAGCTAGAGCTCCATTGCAAACCAGTACTTTTCATAGGTTTTTTTTTTTACTTGCTAAATAGGTATGAAAGTCACTAATTAGCAGCAGTGAGGTGAACTAAAGCATGACAATCACTGCTGAGAGTCAGATGCTGTGCACTCAAGCTCAGATCTTATGGGTTTGTGTTTTTTCCACATTGAGAAAGAAAAAAGTTCCACCTACACGATGAATAAATATCCGAGTATTTGGGTGCAGCCCTAATCTGCAGAGTCTGATTCCTAACCTATCATTGCCACCAGTAGCTGCTGTTTTGGATTATTTCTTCAGTACCTTTTATAACACTGAGGCCCTTTTCAGACATGGGATATGTGACATTGGTGTCTAAGCGACTGCACTGTCATTCAAACGTAAGCCACTTTCCTGTTAATATTCCTCTCGATTTCATTCAGACACACCCGCAGCAGTGACGGAGGCCCGCGGCACACGTGCATCGCCGAGGAATGTTTTACTGCGAATCAGGTCCGGAACAAAGTGTCAATGTGTATTTGTTATTGCTCTTTAGGGCATTCTCTAGTGCATGTCTGAAAGGGGCTGGAGATATAACCAACACTTGAGCTGATATGCTACAACCTGAGGGGTTTTTTTTCTCCTTGTATTGTCTTAATTAAAAATGACTGTGGTCCAACAATACAGTTGCACTTTGGGGAACGATTGCAAATAGATGTGACCAGAATATGTGCAACCTAAAGGAACTTGCTTTTACACATACACAAAATAAACCTGCAAGAAATGTTGTTGTAATACTGAATATATTGTGAGACATTCAACGGAGCTGCTCAGCATCTGTTTACAAACAGATATCTCGATGAAATGCAATATTTTATCTTCTCTTATTCCTTTATAATTTTGTCTCGTCTCTCTTTGTGTTTTGATCTAAGCCAGCCACTTGAATTGTAACATTCCACATAATGTAGTCCGCATCTCCAGTGTATTTCCCTCCACATTTTATCTGTAACACAACAGACACTTTTGCGGAGTTGCAAATAAAACTCGTGTCTCCGCTAAGTTGTTTTGTGAGAGTTTATTACCCTTAAATCAACAGTACACCGAAAAGCAATTGTTTCATTGGTTCGGTGACTTAAAGTAATGTAAACAAACCTTACACTACAGATGGAAATCCCTGCAAAAAATATCTATTTTTCAGTAACAAATTCACTCATCTGATCTTCAAATTCAGCTTTGTGTGAAAAGCGCCTTCAGGGGAAACACAATTCATAACAGTGAATAAACTTCATAAGAGAACAGTGTTAGTATAAAGGTCAGTAAGTAGAGTATTGCATGAGCTGCGTGACACCACCAAGTTTTCAGCTCCAGGCTGCATAGTAAGAATACTTTTGATAAAAATTTCACTGATTGGGCTGATAAAAGCTACGATTTCTTTTTAAACTTTTGAATATTGTGCAACACATAAAAAGAATAAATAAAAAGGACATCTTTTATCTTCTAGATTGCATATAACATTAAAATAAGACTTTATTGCATTTCACTAGCTTCCTTTCAATGTGACAGTCCTTCAGTTACCAGTCCAGCACTGTAAATGCCACTCCTTATTACCTCAGCGCACAGTCCCTGACATCCAGGGGGATGCATGGGCCCTTAAAAAGGACCGCTACCAGTGAGGAGTTGGATGGGTGTAGCAGCTGTTGTTGCCTGTGCTTAGATCTACAGGATGAAGGGCAGTATGGAGGAGCGCAGGGTGGGATAATCCCTAAACTCCTTTAAGTAGCTGCGGTGTTTGCCTTTAGCCCAAACCGTCATCTGGATGAAAGCCACAAGAGTGAAGAAAGCCACAGGCACACACTGGGTCATCACTGTGAAGCCGATCCAGGAGCCGACCTGTGAGCAATAAGTTACAGACACACACACAGAGTGCATGGAGAATGATGGTACAGTTACAGAACATAACCACCAGATGGCAATGCATCTTTCCTTGCGAGGATAAAATGCAGCACTGTACAATGAAATGTTAACCTTTAGCGTTCTAGTAGAGTAACATTAAAAAATACTAATAACACCAAAATGAGCATAGACCCAGAAAATTTCCCTTAAATAAATATATAAATACTGGATGTTATAGATTCATCTACCTAAGGAAAAAGGGTGAACTTCACCAAAATATGGAGTTTGATTTGGGCTTACCTCATATGTGTAGTTCGGACAAGAGACCAGCCAAAAGATCCAGGTGAAGGGGTTTTTTGTTGGATAAGGAATCTTCTTGGTTTTGGAGCCTGAAACGAAGGGTAAACTCAAACTGCACTGTGCATTTAAAAAGAAATCAGTAAGAAAAGGAGACTGAAAATCACACGTATTGCTGCAAAACGCTCACCTGGTGTTTTGAGGTTACGAAGCGCCACGTGGATGGAAAAATTCCCTATTTGACAGAACTGTGGGGATAAAGATATTCAAAAATGAGCATTCAACAGGATGGTGGGTTTAAAATGTGGAAGGTGACTCTCAGAGAGCTGAAGCTTACCAGGAAAATGTAAAGACCTGCATTCACCTGCTGCTGCCCGTAATCTGTTGACGTGTCACAGAAAAATGGATTAAGATAGAAGTTGGCGTTGACTGATGAGCTAAAGTGAGAATGAAAGTGGTCAGCACTTACAGGGTGTGGTGTAGAGAGGGTGGTTAATGTAGTATGCCATCCAAGCTGCAGTAGACCAGTAATAGCCACAGTTCTGGCATAGAAAGCAGGACTATTATAAGTCAAAGTGTCTAGATATTGCTCCACATAGATTTCTAAGAAGAGTAACCACAAACAAAGTAATAACTACAATGCACAAAGCTTTTAATGTGCAGCACAGTTACCTTAAATATGTTCCTGAGAGGCATGGTCCCATGGGAGATACGATGGACAAACAGTGTCTCCAGAATCCTCTTGATGTAGTGGAAGGAGTGACATATGCAGGCCAAACTGCAACAAGACACACAAGCACAAAGACACACTTACATATTTAGCTGTGATTAATACATCGCCCCGCTGCAGTCCATTACACTTGGCGCTGACTCAGTGTCAACATAGCAATATGCTTCCCAACTGTTTGTCATGCTGACGGGGGAGGCGGGGGGTCTGTGCAAAGCCCGGGATTGTGTGAAACACTGCACCAACATCACAACAGATCTCTGAAAACATGGGAAAGCCGACACTCACTGTACGATCCAGTGCTTGCTGCTGGTGAAGTCATACTTTGGAGAGTAGATGAAGGGAAGGCGGAAGTAGAACATTAAGTAGATGATCAGCGGGCCAGCACACTCTGCCAGGAACACCTGAAGTGAGTGAGGAGACACATGTGCTTTAAGTCAAGGGTTCTCAAAGCTTTGTGACCAAGGGCCAGTTAAGGGATTTGTGTGGAAAGCTGCACATATTAAAAAAATGCACACATTAAAGGAGAAATGTGGTTTGGCAGTATTTTATCTTGGCCTGTTTTTCATTTTATTCAGTATAATCAGTTACATTCTTTGGCAGCAGGAGTAGGATGGTTTAGTGGGATATGATGGCTGGAAGTGAAGAGTTCCAGCTGGATGTTAGAAATGCTACTATACTCACTGGCCACTTCTTTAGGTACACCTGTTTGCCTGCTCTTTTCAACAAATATCTAACCAACCAGTTACAGTTATATAGCCTACGAAGGAATATTAGGGCCTCATTTCAGACGGATCAGACGGAAAAGCGCACAAGAGTGGATTTGTACAAAATGAAATAGCTGGTATTGGAAAGATGCAAGGTTATCGATGGTTACACGCCGGTCCAATGAGAGGATGTATGTTGTGTCACAAGACGGCGGATCAATTTGTTTCACTAACTCATCTAAACAAGGCATTTTTTAGTGGGTATAGCAAACATGGTAGTTTGTCTTGAAACAAAAATGATAATCTCAACATTTCGTCTTTTTTCTCAAAATAATCGTTAATGTTTTTTTCATTAATGTGGCCCTAATAAATACTCCATCGTACATAGAATCAACTCAATCCACTTTTGCATGTAGACATGCCCCAGGCAGTCTGCTGAAGTTCAAACTGAGCATCAGAATGGGAAAAAAAGTGATTTAAGCTACTTTGAATGTGACATTGTTTTTTGTGTCAGAGTGCTAGTCTGAATATTTTGGAAACTGGTGCCATAACAACCATATCAAGGATTTATACAGAATGGTCCAAAAAAAGAGAAAACATCCAGTGAGTGGCAGTTATTTGGGTAAAAAGTCCTTGCTGATGTCAAAGATGAGATGAAAATGGCCAGTCTGCTTCCTGCTGATAGGAAGGCAACAACAACTCAACCACTCGTTAGAACCAAGGTATGCAAAAGAGAATCTCTGAACACCCAACACACTGAAGCTTGAAGCGGATGGGCCACAGCAGAATAACACATCATGTCACAAAGGTTTGGTCAAACTGTGTTCTTAAACATAGCTTGAACAACTCAGAATCCATTACTTTTCTTCATGGATGTGCAGCTGACAAATCTGCACCGTGTGGCTCTGTTTCAACAAAATGAACCAAATTCTCTGAGGAATGTTTTCAGCACATTGTTGAATCTCTGTCATTAACATTAAGGCAGTTCTGAAGATCGAAGAGGGTCCAAACCCTTTACTGGGATAAAGTGTATCTAATAAAGTGACTTTAGTATATTTATCATAATATGATATCATAACAACATATGACCTGTCGATGAATGAAAAGTTAAAAACAAATCAGGGGTTGCATAAGTTAATACCAGGACTACAGGTTTAAATGCTTTTAACTCAGTACCATAAATTCCAGTAGCTTTCAAATTACAGAAATTAACATAGCCTAATTATTGACTGAAATCCATTTAGAATGATAGTTTGTCGGTATAAACCCTATGCCACAGGGAGAACATGCAACTGACACCTGACATGCTCACCAGCTCACTAACAGCTGACACCAGCGTGGCTCTGGTTTCTACAGTCTCACTTGTTAAAGCCACCATGGATCAAAAAGGTCTGTCTACCTCACCTAAGCATTAGGAACAAATCAGTTACAGTAATACTCCTCCTCATATTCAGTATGTACGCATAGACCAGATGAGATACTGGGACAGCTTGTAACACCCGCTTTAAGATCAAGTGACACAGCTGTGAAACAGATCCCTGAATCAGCACCTTAGGCGGAGGCCTGGCTCAGCA